CTCCGAAGGCAGAAGAAGCTCGAGATCGACCTGTCGATCCTGGAGCGGTGGAATGCGTCGCCGATGTCAGAGGCCCCCCGGGAGAAGCCCCCCAGAGCGGCAGCGTGCGAGGGGTCATCGGCGCCTTCACCTCGGTCCGCGCCAGGCCCTCGGCGGTCGCCAGCGAGACGCCCGGGGGCGAGGTGAAATGACGGCTGCTCCGCCTCGCGTCGACGATAAAGCGAAGCTGGTTGGTTTTCTTAGCCGCAATGGAGACGCCCACCTGCTCGCGGCACTGCGACACGTCTAGATAAACCCACATGCCCTCGGAGAAAGCAGCTTCGCCAGACGCGCGCAGAGCCTGCGATTCCGCACCAGCGCGCGGCCCCAGCGGGGCTCGACGCCGCACCCATCAAGGCGACGGCGTAAAGTCTCCTCATCCACAAGCAACCGAGAAAATCCGACCTCGAGAAACTGGCGCGCATGCGCAGGCGCGACCTCGCGCAGTCGCGGCCCTTCCACTGGGGCCCCAAGGAAAAATCGACCCCACGTCGCGAAGACGCCATGCGTTCCGCCCGGGCGACTCGCCGTAGACACTGCGGCCGCGCAGCAGCTCAAAGAGCTGCCCGCGGGGAGTGGATCGCGGTCTACACGGACGGCGCGCTCTCGGCAACAATCCAGGATCCGCGCGCACCCTCTGCTGGCCACGGCTCGGCCTGGAGCCCGTGGACCATCGGTTCACCAACAAAAAATAAACCACATCATTAAAGTCACGACGAGACCACGCAGCGCTGCCCCGCGGCCCTGCAGCGGCGGCCGCGCCTCACCATTGTCGCCAAGCCTTGGCAGGGGGAAGAGCGAGAGCAAGTCCACCCCGACTTCACGCGTGGGCTGTGCGCCGCCGACCGTTCGGCCAGCTCCGTCGGCGGGGGCGCCCACGCCGCCTCGGGCGCGGTGAGCTTTCCACCGCGCAGCCGCCCCGCGTCCGCCACCGCTACCTGGAGCGCCGCGCCCCGCGCCGCAAGCCCCGCTGCGTCGGCCGCCGCCGCGCCTGCGGCCACGGCCGTCGCCGGCCCCAACGCCGCCGCCAGGGGGCCCCTTGCCTGCCTCCAGCGCCAGGGGGCTCGGGACCGGCACGCCAGCTGCGCGGCTCTTCCAGCTCTCCAGCCCCATCTCCTTCTCGTTGCGCCTGAACAACGCGGTGCGCAGGGCTGGGTCGATCAAGCCCATCGGGGCCGCCACGCCCACGTAGCGCCGCAGACCGCCCCACTCCCAGGGCTCGGCGTCGCCCGCCGAAGCCCCCGGTCGAGCCTCAGGCGGCGGCGCGCCAAGCCGCTCACGCAGGTCCCTCTCGCCAGCCGCTTCCAGGTCGGGAGCCTCGCCATCAGCGCGCGCCGCCGCTGCCTCCTGGCCGCGCTCGCCCAGGGCGCCCCCCGGCGTCCTGATCAGCTCCCCAGGGCCTTCGGCTCGGTAGGCGCCCACCCTCTCGCTGCGCACAGCCCCCGCGATCTGCCAGCTGTCGCCCTCGCGGAAGGTTGCGCGCTCAGCGTCCGGGCGGACGCCCCCCTCCCCGAGAGGGCCACCGCGCTACCGAGCGGCAGCGGCCCAGGGGCGGCAACGTGCCAAGGGTGGCCCTCGGGCGGCCCCAGGTCGGAGAGCGCCTTCGCTGCGGCGGCCACCTCGGCGCCGGCCAGGGCCCCTCCTTCGGGCGGCGTCGCCGCGCCGCCGACCGCGCTGGCGGCCCCGCGCAGTGGGTGGCGGCGCCGCAGGTCCGCGAAGGGTTGCAATTCGCCCTCCCAAGTGTAAAACTGCTCGGGCTCGCTCACGCCCGCGCCATGCTCACCCTGCGCTGTCCGAAGGCGCGGCACGAGAGCGCGAAGAGGGGCGAGCGGCACAGGCTCCGCGAACCTGCAGAAGCAACCGTGCGCCACAGAGGCAGCCACACCACGCCAGCAATGTCCTCCACGTACGTGTCGGCGTCGGGTGTCAGCACCCACCAGTACGTCCCTCCCGCGGGGTACAGCAGCAGCCTCTCGTGCCATACCGTATCTCGCGGGCACCAGAGCCCCAACCTCAAGCCCAGTCGGAGCTCAGCGCGCCACGCCCGGCCAGATCACGCCCGTCCTGCGACGGCCGCGGCGAGACGGCAGCATGGCGTCGGAGGCGGGCAGCGGCGCAGCAGCAGACCAGCACGATGAGCTCCGAGACCGCACTCCAGGCCAGGAGAATGCCTGAGCCTTGCTGAGGCTCCGAGGCTGGGCCAGCCACGGGCGGCGGCGCCGCCTCCGAGGGGCCCGCGGCTCCAGCTGCCGAGGGCAGCTTCTCCAGCAGCGCCGCGGCCGCCGCCTCTGCCGAAGGACAGACCGCCGGCGCGGGCGACCCGTTCGCCAGCAGGGGCACCAGCTCGGTCGCGACCGCCGCTGCGAACCCCTCGGCGCCAGGTCCCGCGGGCGGTGGCGGCGGGGGCGGCGGCGTGGGCGGGCACGCGGGCGCGTGGCAGACGCAGGCAGGGCAAGTGGTGGAGGCCGCCACCACCGCCGCCAGCCAGCCGCCCGCCAGCCGCAAGCCCGCCCAGGCCGCGGGCGCGCCCACCGCGGCGTTCACCGCCAGGGTGGCGGTAGCGCCCGGGGCCATGGCCCGGCCCACGCTCATGCACTCGAGACGGGAAAAAGGCGATGGGGCGGCTGACAACACCGCGCAAGCACTCCAATGAATGTTCCTAGGTTTTTGAAGGAGCTTGGCTTTGCTCCTTTTCAGCTCCGGCAGCCCAAGATGGCCGAAATGGCCCACAACATCGACCCCAGAGCACCCAAGAGGCCTCCTAGATGGCCCCATGACAGCCCAAGAGGCCCCCGAGAGGGCCCCAAGAAGGCCCCAAGACGGCCCGAGAGGCCCCCAAGGCGCCCAAGGTAGCCTCCAAGACTGCCAAGATGGCCTCCAAAAAAACATCAAAAACGCCCAAGATGGCCGTCAAGATGGCTGAAATGGCCCGAAGATGCACCCAAGACGGCCCAAGATGGCCTCAAAGATGGCCTGACACGGCCCTGTAGGCCCGCAGGAGGCCTCCAAGACGGCCAAGAGCCCTCCAAGACGTCCTCCAGGAAGGCCCGAAAGGGCCAAAATCATTGGTTGTCCTAAGGTGTTTGAAGGATTCTGGTATTTTCTTCTTTTCAGATCTCCGACGGCCCAAGACGGCCCAAGAGGCCCCCAGCATCGTCCCAAGAGCGCCCAAGAAGGCCTCCAAGACGGCGAAGATGGCCCCAAGATGCACCCAAGACGGCCCCAAATGGCCCCAAAATGCACCCAAGATGGCCCCGAATGCCCAAAAGGCCCGCCAGAGGTCTCCAAGACGGCCCAAGACCCCTCCAAAACGTCCTCCAGGGGCCCGACAGCTCGGAAACCACCTGGTCCGATAGCTCGCCCGATTCCGTGTTCCCCAAAGGCTTTCGAAACCCACTCGGGGAACGCGTGGCCCGATAGCTTGGCCAAGCTCAAACCCAACTTTCGACCACGCAGGCGCTTCCAAAAAGGCAGGGGGCGGCGGTGATTCGCCGTAGGCGTCTTCGATCCGCCGCCCCCTGTGCTTGTCACAAGGAAGCCTGGCGTGATGGATCCTTTCGGTGTTGGGATTACTTCTTTTTTCCAAAATATAGCTCGCCCCTGAGGCTCCGGCCCAGCCCGCCGGCCACCCGGAAGGACCCAGAAAGGATCGCAAGAGGTGGTTGCAAAGATTTTTCCGGCTGCAGACAGCTCCAAGATGTCCCAAGACGGCATCCAAGATGCCTCCAAGATGGCCCAGATGGCCTCCAAGACGGCCCAATAGGGTCAGAGATACTTGCAAGTCCGCCCAGGAAGCCTCCAAGACGGCCCAAGTCTGCCCAAGAGGCCTCCAAGATGGCCCAAGAGGCCTCCGAGAGGTCCTCCAGGAGGGCCCAAAAGAGGCCAAAATCATTGATTGTCCTTGGGTGTTTGTTGAAGGGTTTATGTGTTTGCTCCTTTTCGGCCTTCCGACGGCCCAAGACGGCCCAAGAGGCCCCCAAGATCGCCCTAAAAGCCCCAAGATGGCCCCAGGACAGCCCAAGAGGGCCCAAAGACGGCCCAAGAGGCCTCCAAGACGCCCCAGGAAGCCTCCACGACGGCCCTGGACCACTCCAAGAGGGCCCCAAGTCGGACCAGAGAGAGGCCCCCAAGACGGCTTCCGACGGCGTCAGGCGGGCCGGGCGCCCACCAAGACGGCCAAAGAGGCCCCGAGAAGCTTCCAAAAGCGTCAAGAGGCCCAAGGAGGCCCCCATGACGCCTACAAGAGGCTCCCAGGAGGCCCCAAGAGTGTCCCCTTAGGCTCCCAAGATGCCCCCTCTTCCTCCTCCTCCTCCTCCTCCAACTCCCCCTCCTCCTCCTCCTCCTCCTCCTCCTCCTCCTCCTCCTCCGCCTCCTCCTCCTCCTCCGCCTCCTCCGCCTCCTCCTGATATTCCCCGCCATCCTCCTCCAATGTTCGCCGAAGGGTTGCCACAACGGTCGGGGGAACACATGGTCCGATAGCTTGGTGGATCTCTTGCCACAACGCTCGGCGACATGGGCGATTCTAGAAGGCAGGGGACCGGCGGTGATTCGCTCTAGGCGTCTCCACGATGTGAATATATATATATATATATATATATATATATATACACATACGTGTGTAGCACACATACACTTTGTTGCGTCGGCGGCTAGGCAGAGTGACTGCGCTGGCGGGTGGAGCAACACACACACACACATACGTCCTGGGCCCAGGATTAGGGGAACAAAAAGTGACATAAACATAAAAACTCGGAGGTCTGCGCGGATTTCTCGGATCGGCGCTGGACCCCCCTCCCTGGCGCGCGGATCGCGCCAGGGGCGGCGCCGGAGGCGCCGCCGGGAGGCTCCAGCGCCGATCCGAGAAGTCCGCGCGGACCTCCGAGTCTTTATGTTTATGTTTTTTCCCAAGGATGAGCCCAGCCAGGGGCAGTGGAAGTGTGTAGATCTCCCCGCCCAACAACCACGGCGGTGCGCAGCCCCACGCTCAGCAGCACGCAGATCAGGTGCGCAAGTCCGTGCGCGAGGGCCGGCACGTCCTGGGTGATCCTCTCGACCGCGTCCAGCCCTCTGGCGTGGTAGAAGGTGAGGTTGGAGAAGTTCGGCGGCGAGCGAGGGGGGAGAAATGACGAGGAGAAGGCCCTTCTCAGAAGGCGGCGGGACTTCTCAGAAACCCTCGCACCTTCTGACAGGTCTTCTGATGCTTCCGGGAGGGCTCAGAAACCTTCTCAGAAGGCCAGGGGGCTTCCAAGCCTTCCGAGAATTCCCGCCCCTTCTCACTTCCCCCCCTCGCTCGCCGTCGAGAAGTACCTCTCGTGGAGCGCGTGGGTGGCCTGCACCTGCCACACGCGGCCCAGCGATTTGATCAGGTGCTGGTGCCAGCTAAGGCACGCAGCCGAGGCCATCTCGACCAGCAGCCACCACCGCACCTGCCGGAAGGGCAGCCAGGCCTGGGGCCCGCGGCACCTGGCAAAGCACTGGAAGAGCGCGGACTCCACGTCGGCGCACTGCACCGAGAAGAAGCCCCAAGCCAGGGCCACAACCGCGACGGCGGTGAGGCACTGCCTCTGCTCCTGCACAGGCGCCGATACCGCGACTCCCTGGACCTCTCCCCGGATGCGCTCTGCCCAGAGTCTCGAGGCGAGTCTGGCCGTGGCTGCTCGAGGGCCTCCCAGGAGGACCAACAAGGCGAACACGACGAAAGGGCCTTGCGGTGTCGGTGCTGGTGCGCCCGCGCTGGCGCGCGCCCGCGCTGGTGCGCGCCAGCGCGGGTGCCTCCTCGGGTGCCCAACTCCCGCTCCTCCTCCTCCTCCTCCTCCTCCTCCTCCTCCTCCTCCTCCTCCTCCTCCTCCTCCCTTTCCTCCTCTCTTCCTCCTCCTCCTCCTCCTCCGCCTCGTCCTCCTCCTCCTCCTCCTCCTCCTCCTCCTCCTCCCTCCTCCTCCTCCTCCCTCCCCCTCCTCCTCCTCCTCCCCCTCCTCCTCCTCTTCCTCCTCCTCCTCCTCCTCCTCCTCCTCCTCCTCGGGAGCTCCACGGCGCCCGCGCTGGCGCGCGGCCCGCCGCCCTCGCTCAGCAGCCCCATCACCTCCCTGCCGATCTCAGCGCTGGGCACGCGCCCGGGCGCGGCCGGCCCGCCGCCTCCGCCCGCGCCCGGGCCGCAGCCGGCCCCCGGCTCGCTGCTCATGTTGGGCACCCGAGGAGGAAGAGAGGAGGAGGAGGGAGAGGAGGAGGAGGAGGAGGAGGAGAAGGAGGAGGCGGAGGAGGAGGAGAGGAGGAGAGGAGCAGGAGGAAGAAAGGAGAGGAGGAGAGGAGGAGGAGGAGAAGGAGGAGGATAGGAGGAGGAGGAGGCGGAGGAGGAGGAGAAGGAGGAAAGGGAGGGGAGGAGGAGCGGGAGTTGGGCACCCGAGATGATGATGAGATGATGATGATGGAGGAGATGAGGAGGAGGAGGAGGAGGAGGAGGAACGGGAGTTGGGCACCCGCCGCGACCGCACCAGGAACGGCCGCGCCGAGTCCCAGCCCAGCCCCGCCTCGGCGCCGCTCGGCGTGCTGGCCGCGGACGACCCCGGGGGCACCGCTCGGCGTGCGGGCGACGGCGCCCCCACCGCGCCTGGCGGGCTTGTTTTCCACCGCCACCACCAGAAGTAGGAGGGGGAGGGCGTCCTCCTCCTC